TCTGGGTAACATTCAAAGTTTTCTGTCTGGATCCCAGTGGTGCACACTGATCGTCCTAGCTACCCAGAAGGCTGAGATCTGAGGACTGCAGTTCGAAGCCAGCCAGGGCAGGAAAGGCCGTGAGACTCTTCCATAAACTACTGGGATAAAGCCAGAAGTGATGCCATGGTTCAAGTGGTAGAGTGCCAGCCTTGAGCAAAAGAGGCTCAGAGACAGAACGTAGGCCCTGAGTTCAAGCCCTCGGACCAGCAACAACAACAAAAATGAAAGGAAGGAAGGAAAGTTTTCTGATGGCATTTTTGTTTCTTGACCTTCTTTTTCTCACAGAGCAGGTGCGTCTCTACTTTGTCCTCCTCTCTCTCTCTCTCTCTCTGTCGCACATACACATGTGCACATGTATACACACACATTCACATGGGATAACAGGTTTTGGAACAAAAGGAAATAGAGGAAAGAACAATGCATCATCTACTCACCTAGTTTAGGAAAATAAAAAAAAGTCAAAGAGAACCGCCAGCCAGCTCGGCTGCCCGCCCTGGCCTGCCCACGGGGCTCTCTGCCAATGTTCTTCTTCCAGTCATGGATTTTAGCGCCATCCTCAGACCCCGCCGAGACTTCGGGGGAGATGAAAGTCAGCTGTGAGCGGCCCTGGGCTCTGCTCTCAGCTCCCGACAACTTCCTGGTGGGATTTCACTGGCTCTTTCATTCCAGATGGGCACCTGCGAGGCTGGTTTTCTGCTCTTCCGTTCCTTCCGAGGTCTGCTTTCAGGCAGATTCGGAAGGTGCTGGGTGGAGGTGGGGGAATGGTGGGGGGGGGGCTGATGAGCTGCCAATTTGCCTTCTGGGCCTTTCCAGCCGCTCCACTGCCTGCCACAGCCCATTACCCTACTTTTTGGGCTCTGTGCTTTTCTACTTTCTACCTGAAGCTGAGGGGTTTTTTTTTTTTGGTTTTGTTTTTTGTTTGTCTTTTTCTTGGGAATTCGGGAATTCTGTTGCCCCAGTGGACTTTTTGCTTCACTCAGGCAATGTGCCCATCTGTCTGCTTCAGTCAGAGAGAGTAAATGTCAACGTTGCAGGCAACCTGCCGGATTTCCTGAAGAAAGCTCCGTCCCCGGAGACAACTGGCCCTCTTTGCCACTTACCGGGTAAAGCTGGTGGCTGGTGTGTAATATACACATATATACAGTTGTGTGTGTGCGCGCATGTGTGCGCATGCGTGTTGTCCTGGGACTTAAACTCAGGGCCTAGGTACTATCCCTGAGCTTTTTTTGTTTTCTTCAAGGCTAATTGGTCTACTCTTTGAACCATGGCTTCATGTCTAGCTTTTTGGTGGTTGATTGGAGATAAGCGCTTCATGGACTTTGTTGCCCTAGCTAGCTTTGAACCAAGATCATCCGGCCTCAGCCTCCTGAACAGAGAGGATTACAAGCGTGAGCCACGTACACCAGCAGTCCTTTTGTGGGGTTCTTAAACGGGTACATGAAATCAGCAATACAAGAACCTCAGGGAGATGCTCGGGCCGCGTAGCATGCACTTTGCACATCCATAAATTCTTATTTTCCCCTCTGCTTCACCCAGCACCCTGCACACAAGCTCTGCAAATAAGGTGAACAGATGTTTCACTCAAAATGCGCAGTGTGGCGGCGTTTTGTTTCAAATCAAAGACAGACATTGGTGGAGGGTTGGAAAGCTTAAAAAGGGTGGTTGTTTTTGTGTGCCCACCCTGGGGCTTGAACTCGGGGCCCGGGCGCCTGTCCCTAAGCTCTTTTTGCTCAAAGCGAGCGCTCTACCACTTTGAGCCACAGCACCACTTATGGTTTTCTGGTGTTTCCTTGGAGATAAGAGTCTCCTGGATGTTCCTGCCTGAGCTGGCTTTGAACCATAATCCTTAGATCTCAGCCTCCTGAGTAGCTAGGCATACAGGGAGAATTTCTCTCTGAAACCTCCGATTGGACAGATGAGAAAGGAAGCTCCCGCTCCGACAGACCAGCCTGTTTGTAGGAGGAGACAGCCAACCTCTGACCAACTCTACCCTGGACTGGCATTCTCTCCTCAGACCCGTGACAGCAAAAGAACTCAGACCACTGACTCAGCCAGTACCTTTTCAGACTAAGCTTTTATTTTTATTTTTTGATATTACAAACCAGTTTTCTTTATTCACAAACCACTGTAAGTGATATAAACACTAATTTCTAAAGACAGATATACACATTTTTCTGGGTTTGCAGATTGTATGATGTGTGTTAAGAAGTCACTATATGCCACACATGGTAGTAATTTTTTCCCATAATTCATAATAGCAATAGTTATTTAGATAAATGAAATCATTCCAAATAAATACCATTTAAAAAAATCCAAAATGTTTGTTTACATCTCTGACATAACATTTTAAAATGACTTAACTGGCAATCTTGGCAGAGCGCCTAGACAAAAGATTCTGAGATATCAGTTGGTACCCATTTACTCTAAATGATTTTACTTTTAATTATTAAAACTACATACAATCATGGGGAAAAGTACAGCTCATTGATGAAAATCAAAACTGCAAATGATTTTTTTTTTAAATTTTTAACCAACACACCAAGAATTCTTAACGTTTGTGATTCCAAACAATCGCAAATTTTGGATTTTGAATTCCTGGGGCAGTTGGGAGAAATCGAAATGATTCTTCACAACCCCCTTCCTTCCCTCCCCCAATTCCTATCATCTGTAAACCCTCTGAAATAGGAGGGACTCATAAATGGATTCCTTGGATGTCACAGAGCCGGGTAGCCACCATGATCACGGTTTCTAGGTGGGGGAATCTGAGGAGCTCTAAACCATGCTGGAACATGTGCCTGACCCTTCCCTTCCCCACCCAAAATGTCCTAGGAGCAGTTCTGAACCTTGTCTTCCCCTCTGCCTTCTCCACCCCCACCCCCACCCCACCCCGACTCCTCTCTTTCCAAGATAACTATCATTGTTTTTGCCCTAGATATGGAAACTACAGAAACTTGGGTTTTCAAATCTTGTGAAACTTTATTGATGGTTTTTTTTTTTTAATATCCAACTGATCTTAGAGCATGCACACAGGATGATATGGAAAAGCTGGATCACAAACACGGTTGATTAGTATCATTATTATTATCGTTATTTTTTTAAGTTTTGTTTGGTTTTGTTTGAAAGCAGAGTTGTTATACAGCGGATTGGCATGTTTGTAGCGTGAGTTGGTAACTAAGTGTGTGCTTGGGGACCAGCACTGTCCATCAGTACTGCAGCAAAACTACTGGGGGGGGGGGGGGGGGGGGGGACCGTCGCTCCCTCGGTGGTGGTGGTGGTGGGTTGTTTTTTTTTTTTTTTACTTTTTTTCTCTTTTATTTTTTTTCTCTTTTAATTTAAATACAAAAACAGGAAGACCTGTGACAGATAACCCCAACGTAAGGTAACTTGTAAACAAGACAACGTAGGAAGAGTTCAAACAGAAGTACAGACAAACTGCAATTTTTCCAGCTGTGTTACCCTGGCCCTTTATATACCAGAAAGGATGGGGAGGGGGGCTGGGGGGGGGAGGGGCTTTGTTCTTTGGGGTGAAGAGGGAAAAAATCTAGATTTTTTTTTTTCCTCCCTCTTTTCCTCTCTCCCTTCCAACAAGTGTCCTGGACCTTGGAGACTGGCTGAAGACAGCCCCCGGGAATGGAGGGAGAAGGTGGAAGGGCGGGCTCTCACGGGCTGAAAAATTGCAGATTGCTTACAGAATGCAGTCATGTGTCAAAAAGTACCAAGCTGATGAAGATACCATGGTTATCTCTATTTCTCAATGGTTGCGATATTGTAAAATGCGCCTATAAATCTGAATATGAGTATCATGTAACTCCATAAAAATTATATGTCTGTCTCTAATAATTATTCCACTACGCTAAAACTAAAGATCCTCGGACTGTTTCTAGGACTTAACAACTCCACTGCACAGATGTAAATTTTATACATATTTTTTTTAAACTGGTACAAAGAATTTAAGTTTTTATTACTTTCTCTTTTTTTTTCTTGGAAAAAAAAGAAAAAAATAGAAACAGTGCTTTTTTTTTAATCACCTTTTTATTAATGTTATTTTTTCCCCTCCCATAATATAAAAGTCGGCAATGATATCAATAATTTATTATATTGGAAGAAATATAAAAAGAATGCTTGTGGATGGTCTTAACTAGTAAGGTGTTGCCTACGTAACTAGCGGCTAGTGAGAAAGTGGAACACTGCGGGGTGGAATGAATTAAGGGGAGTTTGTACAGCTTCATTGGACTCTGATGCGGCTTACTGCTAGAAGCAGCCCCTTAGCAATGGGAACTTTGGCTTCGACTGGCAATGGGTTAACTTCGAACCATTGATACATGGTCGTCGGTGCAGTGGGACAAGTCGATCATCAGTTACTCGTTTTTCCCTTTGGACAAAAGAAAAAGAAATCCCCATCCCCAGCTCCCCTCCCTTCTCCTACCCCTACCTCTACCCCTGGCCTCCCTTTTCGCAAAATAAAATAATGTAGATGCAGCAAAGAAAGACGGCTGAGTCTCCTACCCTCTTCCCAAACAGCTTAACCCCAGTAGCTCCATGTTTGGCATCTGTAATTCATGTACATAAGATAGAATCTGCAGAGGACCCTATACCAGGTGTTTTTTTTTCTTTATTCTCCCTGACCCTCATCTCTAGCATCTTTCTAGAATCCACCAGGAAAGTTCCTACAGCCCAGCAACCAAACTATGGAACCTTCAGAAACGAAAGACCCACGATATTAAAATACACAGAACAAAATATCTGAGGTATAAGATAAAAAATGTAATTTTTTCCTCTTTTTTATTACTTTTTATTATTATTCTTTCTTCTTCTTTTTTTTTTTTTTGAGTTGCTAAGGTGATGCACAACTGCACATCTTGCAATGCTCAGGCCTCCGGTAGCTTCTCCTTTCCTTCTCTCCCCACCCCCGATTGGAAGGTTTTTTTTGTTTTTTTTTTTTAATGGTGGTTTTTGTTTTGTTTTTCTGTTGTTTATTTGTTGTTGTTGTTGTTGGTTTTTTTTTTTGTCATTTAGTATGGAGCAAAACGGTTGTATCCCCCTCGGTATATACTAGCCTGCAATGAAGAGAGTACGAGACCCACATCATCTGCGTGGCTTCTAGTCTTGGCATCAGTCAAAGGTGCAAAAGCATTCTGAAACAAAGCAATTCGAGGGGTGCGTTTTTTACATTTTTCCTTTCGCAACACTTGCATCATCATCAAGAAAGACCAATGTGAAAAAAGAAAACAAAAAAGACACGCAACACCAAACAAAATGGCAGCACCCCTTACCCATCCCGAGAGTATTCTTGGTGGTAAACTAAAGATAGGGTCATTGTCTAATCTTTCCTCAAAACTTCCCTTGAAAAGACAAAAAAAAAAAATCTCTGTTAAAGAAAAAAAAAATGCCAGCCAGTCTCTTGAGCTGCAAGGACTCCGGGATGAGCTGGACAATGGAAAGGTCGGCAGTCTGATTTCATTCGTGTCCTTGGGTGATGGGTTAATACATAGTCTATCCCCTTGGGGGAGATCTTAGCCTACATTTTCATTTTTTAATCAGTCATGGGACTTGAACTCAGGGCCTGGCCGCAGTCTCTGAGCTCTTCTGCTCAAGGCTAGTGCTCTACCACTTTGAGCCACAGCTCCACTTCTGGTTTTTGAGTTTTGAGTGGTTAATTGGAGATAAGAGTCTCACGGGAACTTTTCTGCCCGGGTTGGCTTTGAACCTTGATCCTCAGATCTCAGCCTCCTGAGTAGCTAGGATTACAGGTATGAGCCACTGGCACCCAGCTCAGCCTACATTTGAGGTTGACTCTAGGTGATTTCTTGAATGGCTTCAATTCGCCTTTCCCAATACTTCTCACTTGGAACTAGGTGTGGAAGGGGAGCTGTTGCATGCTGAATCGAGATGAAAAAAAAAAAAATCAAAACCTATGCTTTGACTTAGCTCAGCAAGTCCGTACCTGAAATCTGGCCATAAAGCGAGGGTTGGTAACAGAGGCATGGCTGGATGCAAAATTACACTTGTGCAAAATGATAGGTTTCCAAAAAAATCCTGGTCGCAATTTTCTATGACCAAGCTCCCAGAGCATTATCTGGCCATGGCCTTCAATGGTCCTGAAGTGGCACTGTAACCATTTCCTCTACTAAAAGGATTGGTGATTCCAATGAATGCCTGGTAAGGGCTCTATTTTCAGTAGGAGGACTGCTATTCTTGATCCAAGTAGGAACTGCATGCCAAGGCTTAATAATGATTGCACACGCTCTCACATGATGGGCGCATCTTACTGGACTCAAGAGTTTCAGTGCATAGAAGTTTGAACGAGTACAGGCAAAAATCCCCCTACCCTCACCTCCCTCTTTGTTTTCCTGCCCTCCCCTTAACCCTTCTCCCCACCCCCAACAAAAAGCAAGGTCTCCACCCCCCCCCCCCCCCCCGAAAAAAAAACCCCACCCCCCAAACCAGCTGATTCTAATTGCTTACGTATCAAGCACGCACACACGTGCACTCACGCATGCATGCGTGCGTGCACACACACACACACACACACACACACACACACGTGTATCGCGCTCTCTATTTTCTCTCCTGGGTGACTATGACTTTAAACATGAATTGTAAAAGGGGAGGGCGGGTGGTCGGATGCTCAGCTGCCTGACAGCAGAGGTCTGGAAGTATGCAGCTTAGCTCCTCGGAAGTCTGTGCTGGGGCTGGAACCTTGGGGCTATGTGAATGAGCAGCCAGGGAGGGGGGAAGGCGGGGAGGGGGGAAAGAAAAAAAAAAGTTGTGCATTGACACTGCATTCTGTTAGTGATGGATTTAATTATCAAAATGACTAATTATTCCATTAAGGTAAGTGCTCTGCTAGGTGAGACTCGCAAAATTAGAAATATAATAACTTACATGCACTACATTGCCAAGAAATTAAGACATTTATCAAAGTTTACTAGGAGGATTAATGTGGCATTTTAGCTGCTGTTAGCACAAGAGACAAATTCAATTAAGGGGGGGGAAAAGTGAGAGGCTGTCAACCATCCACCCATACCAAGGTCCCCCAGCCGGGGAGGGGAGGGGAAGGGAAGGGAAGGGCAGGGCAGGCTGGAAGAAGAGAGGACAAAGAAGAAGAAGATGACACTCACCATGGCACCAACGCCGTAGGCGGGGGCTGGAGCAAGTGTGTGGTGGTAGGGGTCGGCAGCATAAACTCGTCCGTAACTGAAAGGGAAGCAGACATAAAAAGATGGGATCTGTGAAGGGCCAGGCACAGCGGGAAGATGTCAATCACAAGATACAAACCACCAACACAGTGGGAAGGGGTTCGTGCATGCACGTGAGAAAAGTCCCACCCGCCGGCGCCCACCCCTCTCAGACCTGGCCGTGCCACGTGACAAGCCAGGCCACCAGAGGAAGGGAACTCTCTTCTGGGAAAAGCCTTCCCCAGGTGGCTTTGTCCTTGGAACGTCACCCAGAGCGCCTGGTGTGTGACCGGCTGTGAGACGCCACGTGGCGTGTGACCGTGAGCGGGTACATGTGTGTGTGTGTGTATGTGTGTTTGCGCGCACGGGTGTGCCCGTGTGTGTGTGTGTCTCATCCCTTCTAGGAAGACCACGTTTATGCAGCTGAGGAAGCTTCCTTAGAGACAGAGACAAGAACTGTCAATGATGCCTGGCGCTCGGGGGAAGCCCTGGGCCCGGCGGGACGGTCTAACGCAAGGGAGGCTGGCTTTCTCTCCGGGCATAGCTGTCACCCATGCGCGAGGCCCGGCGGTCCAGAAAGGCTGCAGGGGACTCATCTGTGCCGAGAGGGGCCAACGTAGTTATACAGAAACCAGGCTTGATGTGGATCCTGCCACGCGGGAGCTACTAACCTGTTCATCCCTGGGGCTACGAGGCATCTGACAGGCCCTGCCTCCATCTATCTGCCTCTGGTCCACCACCTTTCTGCGGCCGGTGGGATGGTTTCCATGACAGTTTTGAAATTAAAAAAAAAAATGGACAGGGGACATGCACCGGGTGTCTGTCTGGGGGGCGCCACACTGCCATCCATCCCAAGCTGGGGGGTCCGGCTAGATAAAACCAGAGGTGACCGCTAACTGTGTCTGGGTTCACTCACATCCCCGTGCAACGTCAGCACGCACCCCCTACGCGTCTGACCCGCCGCGTCATCTGCCTGGAGCTGGTTTGAACAGTGAGGTTCTGAACGCTAACGAGGGTGAGATGCAGCGTCTTCAGCTTGGTTTCCTGGAAGCCAAGCCCGGCACGAAGATTGCGAGTGATTTGGGGAGAAGGTACCCTTGAGAGGAGGCCGGTGGGTCAGAACGAGAGCGCGAGAGGCAGAGCAAGAGAGGGAGAACGAGAGATCAAGGCAGGAAAGAACGGAGAAGCAGCCAGGCAAGGCGAGGTCCAAGCTAGAGAATGGCTTCCGGCTGGTTCCTTGGCAGATACACTAGAGCTGGTTGCACACAAAGGGGGCTTTGCTGCGGGGTAGGAGACTCACTGGCAAGTTGAAAGAGGCCCAGAGCCCCTTCTGGCTGAACTCCATTAGCAACCAAGGCTCTCAGGCACCAGGACTTGAGAGTGCACCAGCTCCCGGGGCCAGGCTGGGAATGGGGCGTCCTCTGTGGGATTTTGACCTCTCTCTTTTTTTTTTTTTCCATGAAAAAGCTACACCGGGAGACATCTTTTGCACTAACAACCCGAAGCTTGCCACTAGATGCCTTGAAATCCCATTTGCACGTACTTTATTCCTCTCCCCCTCTCTCTCTTCTTCCCGTTTCCCTCTTAATCTTATTGCTCAGAGTCGTTTCAAAACAGATGGGAAGGAGAGCCAGGGGCGGGTAGTGAGAGGGTCCAGGTTCGAGTCCTGCCTTCCCTTGTCCTAGCCGCCTCTTGAGTGAGTCTGACTGGATCTAACCACAGAGCTTAGGATGGTGAAGGAACCTGGGCCACAGATGTTCTAAATTCTAGACTCTTATTTACACCCCGGGTGGGAAAATGAATGGGTTCCAAGCAAGTGTGTAAGCTGGCATGTCCCAAGCCTGCCTTGTTGTCTGTGCCAGAGGAAAACAAACTCAAATCCAGACACAGCCTTCCTCTCCACATAGACTTCTCCGGGTTCTCACTCACCAGGATGTGAACTGACAGTAAAGTTTAAAAACCGGTCAGCTTTCTTATCTTTTCTTTTTACATTCCTGTTCTGTCCTTTTGCTCTCGAGAGAAAGAAACAAAAGCAACACCAACTTTCATCCCAGACCCTCCCTTTTCGTTGAGGAAAGGTAGATGCAAGATCAACGCACGAGGTGTGCTTAAAAAACATCTGCGTCTGTCTGTCTGTCTGTAAAGAAATGATATATTCACGGAGATCACTCAAGCAAACCGAAAAGGAAGCTGGGAGGGAGGGGCGGTTTGAGAAGATGCCCCCTCATTTGGCAACTGATCTTCCCTTCATGGGGGGAAAAATACAAAAAGGCCCACCATCAGTCTAGAGAGAAACCAGCCAATCAGATTCGTTCTAAAGCATCTCTTATCTGGCAAACTTGGTTACAGGAACAGAACACAAACTCCAAAGAAGAACTGAAAACGCTCCAGGATCATGTGAAGGGAGAGACGGGAGTTCCTTCAAAATACCGTGACAAAAATGTCTACATGGAAGAGACAACATGTAGATGGTCCCCATCTTCTCCAGCTGTATTCTTTCTTGATAACTCCTCTTGAGGAGCTCTAACGCCGGGCCGACTTTCAACCTTTGCCGAAAACCCAGGGTAATAATTTGGCCCTGTCTTTATCATTTTTTCCCCCTTCCCCATGGTAGGAAAAAAGTACGTCAGCCTTGAACTACCTTCCTCACAAATGAACAGAGTTCTTTTCTCCTCAGGGTGACCTCTACCTTCAGAATAGGATGGGTTTTTTTTTTCCTATTATGATTAATAAATTTCATTTCCACAGAGGAAAAGGGACCATGTCAGCTCAAACCAGAAAGCCAGGAGGGTTCTTTTCAAATGCTAATTTCTAAACACGCCCTTGTGTGACACCCCGATTTAGACGCAAGGTTATGAGGGTAGATGTGGACCCGAGCATCCTTTCAATGGATGCACCAGCCAGCCGCGTCAGCATGCCGGCTGTCCCCGGGGCTGGCTGAGCAGGGTCCAAAGAGGGACCGGCAGCGCCCGGGGGCCTCACGCGGATGAAGGGGGAACATGACACATGTCACCATGCTGGAGTGTGACCTTCCACACCGCCATCCCTGACCAAAGCGGGAAGGGGACAGTCAACTCGGCCCCCAATTCCTCCCATTGTCAATTTCAGGTGACCTTGGGAATGCGTCCGCGGCACTCCATAGGTTCTTATTACTTCCCTGATGCAAGATTTCATCTAAACCAACTCCACAACCCTGGCCATTTATAGTACCATCTGGGAAACAGCGCCAATCGAATTTACCTGGCCATACTTCCATCCATCCATTTATCCATCCATCCATCTATATCCATCTATCCATCCATTTCTCTAATTAAAGACAGACCTACATAAATCAAATCCTCTCATTCCTTCTCTTAAGACCCTTCAGTGGTTTTTCCACTGATTCCGGTGTCTTCTTAGAATCCAGCTACTCCTCCATCTTCCGCTGGAAGCCCCTTCTTTTCACCCTTTCTATCTCAGGACAAGCATCAGCTGCCCAGGGCGATGCCACCTCTTCTCACCCCTGGGAGATGGATCTCGTCTTTTCCGACCTTACCATCTACTGAAAGCCAGGAGACAACCCAAACAGCACAGGGCGAAGCAAGAGCGGAGGGCAAGAAGGTCGAGCTTCTCTGCCGCCTGCCTTTCTCAATGTCTTGCCTTCTCTAATTTGGGCAGGTCTCTCTCTGAGCCTCAGTTTCCCCACATATAAACGGTTGGTTTCTGTCTGAATCCCGCTGTAGCCCAACCCAATGTCCCGTGGCCAGGATGCCCGACATTATGCTACAGGGAGACTCACCAGCCAGTCTCCCATGACTGACACGGACTTTTGATCTTAGAGACAACCACAAGAGTCTATTCTAATACAATCACATGGCACTTTAGCAATCCAATTATAGACGCTCCGAGAGTCAAGAGCTACCTAATTTACAAGTTGCCGATGTACTTTAAATCACCGTACTTGAACTTGAGGTTATGATGGAGTAAAATGAATGCATCTGCTGCCTGGCGGACAGGAAATACGAAGCAGTATTTGTCAAGGTGCTTTGTGAACCCTACTGAGAAATGTAAATACGACTTGTTAAGGGTTTTCCAAACCTAGGGAAGAGACACGCTGCATGCTAATGAAATATAATATAATAGGCCTGTCCTCCAATCCCCCTGTCAGAGTCTGAACTGTGGCAGGATTTTCTTACAAGGGCATAGTCGGAGCCGTGCATTTAATTTTGCTCTCTCTACTTCAATCAATTCTGTTATTCCTTTCGTGTTCTGCCCCCTTGCTATAGCCACACTTCCTGTCTTGGTGGCCTCTGGGAGGATTCCTGTAGAGTAGAAGGATGCTCACCCCTTAGAGGAAATTCACTCTGGAATGCGCCTACCCTTCACAGTGAAAAGCAGTTTGGCCAAAGGAATCCATGCAAATGACCCTTCTACAGGGTCACCTTGAGGGGGTGGAGCTTAGGAAGGCCCCATGGTTGGATCTAGCTGGTCCGCAATCACAAGGAAGAAAGATGCTCGAGAACGTTTCCAGACACAAGCCAGGCAGTTCGTGAGGGAGATTGGTTTTGGTTCGCCTGACTGCTGATAGGATCCACTTCCTGCAAGAGGGGGCATGCTGGGAACCCACATCCCATGCCAGGCCATCTTTGTTTATCAGGGTTAGATGCTCTGATTTCAGAAATCCCCACTGACTGGCAGAGGCCAGAGCCAACTCCCTTCTAGCTATTGCTTTCCTACTCCCTTCCCTGATCCTACCACAAATCAGACCATTTTCACTGCATAAATGTTATAGTTATTTGCCTTTTCCTTCCTTCCTTCCTTCCTTCCTTCCTTCCTTCCTTCCTTCCTTCCTTCCTCCCTTCCTCCCTTCCTCCCTTCCTTCCTCCCTCCCTTCCTCCCTTCCTTCCTCCCTTCCTTCATTCCTTCTTCCTTCCTTCTCTCTCTCTTTCCAACCATCCCATACTCTCCACTAAACACTACAGCACAGAATGCTGACATAGCTTGGTTCCAAGTCCTGTTGCATGCAATAACAATAAAATG